CCAAGCACCGGGTCCTGTCCCAAAGAGAAGAGCAGCTGGCCATCCATCGGGTCGGTAACTGCATCTGTCAGGCCTGGGCCCTGCTCTGCCACCTAGGGCTTGAGGAACAGCTTTGCCCCTACTGCCCCTACCACCCTACCAGCTCCTCCCTGTCCAGAACCGTTATTGGTGGGAAGTATTGGGCATAATGTGGGGCACTGCACTTGCTGCTTGGTGTACCTCAGAACTCTGGGGGAAGAAAGGGGGTGTGGAGCCCAAGGTGGGTTGCATTTCCTCTCCCTGGGGCCCTGGTCTCTGCCCAGCTCAAGCAGGAACGTTCATGGCAGTCAGTTATTTGCATTGCTTGTAACTAGCAGCCTTGTATAGAGCCACAAGTTTGGCCTGTCTGTGCTTCCCTGGAACAGTGGGGGTATCGGCCAGCTGGCTTCCATGATGCAGGATCTGTCCTGAGCCATCTAATGGTTGGCAGCCGGCTGCCTTGATGGTGAGGTCTGGCAGGGGGCAGGGTCAGGCAGACCTAGAGCATGTCTGTCTCCTAGCCTGTTCTAAAGACATGCACGTCTCTCCCTTTCTCTCTTGTGCTGATGAGCAGGAGCGGATCAGCCAGGTTCTGAAGGACTTAGAAGATGATCATGTGCCCGTTGTGAAATTGGGTGATGCCAGCATCGCTGCTCCCTTCACATCCAAGCTCTCCTCCATTCAGTGCAGTAAGTGCCAGGCTGGGGAGGGAAGGGAGCGTGCGCAGCTGGGCATGGGTGTGAGTGTAGGCATACAGGATGACTGCCCACTCCCGCCTGGAAGTCTGGCATGAACCAGTCCAAGTTTGAAGGACGAAGTGACCTCAGAGGTGAGGGAAGGGGAGATTCAGACCCTGACTGTCATGGGAAATCTGCCCCAAACCACAGCTCATGGAGCAGCCAAACCTAAGAACTGCAGCGCGGTGGTGGCTGAGGGGCAGGGAGAGCCTCATCTTCTAGCCTCTAACCCAAGCACACCAGGCTCTGAGCATGAGTTGTGCTGTCTCCCAGAGGGGAGGGCAGCTGCACGGCAGAGCTGGCTGTGGAAAGGAGAGGGCATTTCTATCTCTCTGCAGTCTGCCACGTGATCAAGCAAGGCCGCTGCACGCTGGTGACCACGCTCCAGATGTTTAAGATCCTGGCCCTGAATGCCCTGATCCTCGCCTACAGCCAGAGTGTGCTCTACCTAGAAGGGGTGAAGTTCAGTGATTTCCAGGCGACACTGCAGGGTTTGTTGTTGGCCGGCTGCTTCCTCTTCATCTCCAGGTCAAAGGTACAGGAGTCCAGTCAGGAGCTCCTGGACTGGGGGGTGTTCCCCGGATCATGGAAATGGGGTGCTTAGCATGTTGGGGAGAGTGAAGGGCTCTGCCTGGTTGAAGCAGCTCCTCCGTCTGCTTAGCCGGAGCTTGCTCATTTCCAAAGTGCTAAAATGGAGGACCCTTCTGTAGCCCACCTGTGGTGTTCTGACAATGAGATCCCTGTCCAATTTGCTGGGGTGTGGGAGTGACAGTACAAAGTTCAGTGCAGACCATAGCCATATAATATACTGCTGCCAGGGCTGCCCTGCAGATGGTGTCATGGCTACAGTTCTTACCAGCAGAGCTGCATGTCCCCAGGGCTCACGCTGTCCTGTCAGCCAGTGCTGTGCTCGTTCCATGCTGCCATCCCTGTGCAGATCCCTTCCAGTCAGACCCTGATTCCCCTGTTTGTTTCCAGCCACTGAAAACTCTTTCTAAGGAGCGGCCATTACCCAATATCTTCAACCTGTACACGGTGCTGACAGTGCTGCTGCAGTTCCTCGTCCATTTCCTCAGCCTTGTGTACCTGTATCGTGGTGCGCAGGTTCGCAGTGAACCTAAGTGAGTAAAGTGCATTTCCCCAGAATGCCATCACATGGCTGGGTGGGGAAGCCCTGGCTGAGCAGGGAAGGGCCAGACAGACCTGCATTTATCAGGGTGCTTTGTCTTCCCTTCTTGTGGAACCCCCAGGCCACTTCGGATTCAACTTCTAAGCAGTAGGGGAAAGGGAAATGGTCCCAAAGGTTATTTAAGAGTAGATAGGTGGAAGTAGCCAACTTGCCAAAGCTCAGTTCAGACTTTAAATTTTGGGGTGAGACTAGGGCACTTGTATGGACCATGTTCCACTGAAAAATGGAGTGCTGTCACTCCATTGCTGAAAAATGGGAACATGTCCTGTAGTTGGGCATGCTGGAGGTGAGAGGAGCAGCTTGGGCAGGTTGTTTCTCCTTCCAAAAGGACATTTGCTTTCGTCAATCTGCACTGTGTTGTTACAATTGGATAGATACTTTCACAGCAGAAAGTTCTGGCAAGTCCTAATCTCCCTACAGAAAATGCTGGGGCTTCGCTCCGCTCTGAAACAAGGCCATGTTTCGTGAGCTCTCGTGAGCTGTGCCTGCTCTGCCAGCCTCTCCCACACAATGAGTTCTGGCTCAGGGGCATGATGCTGAGAATGGGGGGTGAAGGTCTGTGGCCTATACTGTCCCAGAGCCCTTCTAGCCTGTAGAATCCAAGTACGGACAGGGCCCTGTGTAATCCAGGCCAGGTCCATGGGTCTTTCACAGGGGTACATCTCCATTTCTTTGAAGGAAAGAAGAGTTTGTGGATTTGTACAAAGAGTTTGAGCCCAGCTTGGTGAACAGCACAGTCTACATCATGTCGATGGCCATGCAGATGGCCACCTTCGCTATAAATTACAAGGTGAGGTGCACATGACCTGCATCCCTGGGAAGGAATAGTTCCAGACTGCAGCCTCACCTTTGCAGCTCACATGGAGTTTGGGAGGGGTGGTGCAAAAGGACAGGGCATCAATCAGCATGAGACATGTTGCTGGGATATAGAAGAGAGCTCTTTTGCAGGCAGCAGGTGTCATAATCCTATGCTTCAGGCCTTTTCCTGAAGGGGCCAAGAAGGAATTCCACCTCTGGGTGGCACTTGCTTCTGTGGGGGAAGGGAGAGGGCTTCTGCCTTCTGAACCATTGAGATGTTGGCCAGTGAAGTGAGGTGTGGATTAGGGTGGACTTATGCAGAGCATTGTGGCTGAAGGGTCTTGCTGTTCTGCTCAGGACTTTTTTCCTGCATCATACTGGGGAGGGCTCTATCACCTTCCATAGTGGAGGGCAGTCTCCCTCCTAGGGTCCTCTGGGTCACACACTAACCAATTACTTTGTGGCACTGGATGTGTCCTGTGGTTGGGTGTTCCTGCTTCTGGTACCTTGCTTGTTGCATGTGAGGCTTGAAGTGACAATTGAAGGAGCCCATCAGTTAGCATTTGCCTGTGTGCGATGGGGATGTAGCTCCACAGCCCTGCAGATCCCTCTTAGGCCTGGGTAGACCTTGGTCCTGAAAACCGGCCCCCCTCTGCACCTTGTGAGTGTGGCATGTCTCTTCCTATGTTGTGACTTGGTGCCATGTTACTTTTTCCAGGGCCACCCTTTCATGGAGAGTTTGCGAGAGAACAAGCCTCTGCTGTGGAGCATTGTCCTTTCAGGTCTTGCTATTGTGGGCCTCCTGACAGGTTCCTCGCCAGAATTCAGTGAACAGTTTGGTCTGGTGGAAATCCCCACAGAGGTGAGAAAGGACTTATCCACACACTGCCCCCCCACCCTGGGGTAACTGCTGTGAAATTTCATGGCACTGGGACTTCTAGAATGGGCTGAGAGAGGTTGGGGTGTCCCCCCCCAGAAGTCGCACACTTAACTCTCACAGGCATCTTTGCAAAATCCCATGACAAAGCTTTAATTACATTGGAGATCACGGACCACTGTGCAGATGGCTCTGTTTGTTATGCTGATTTTTCCAGGAGTTGGTATGGGTTCTGACTTCTGTGAATGAATAGCTCACTTCCAAGGGCAGAACAAACCCTTTGACTTGATAAGAGCTCATACATAGGGAATATTAAGGCTGTGTGTTCACTGTGAATTCAGAGTTACTTGTCTGGGTGAGTTAAGATGTCACATCGTGAACAGCAATTTAGTAGTTTTAAATAGCCTTAAACAAGAACTGTCTAATTTTACACGCCCCCCCCAATCACTTCTTTACAAGATGCAGAAGATTCTCCCCTTTCCTTGCTCTGAGCACAGCACCACTGCACTCTTGCTTATGCAGCAGCACAGGGTCACTACACTTTTTGAGCCCAGCCCCCTGCAGGCAGTGGTGGTGGAATACTGCCTTATTTTCTACATCGCAATCCAGTGTCCTGGTCAGATAAAGCAAAAGGTCACTCTTCATATCTGTTCCTTTTTTGTTAGTGCACCATATAGTAAGGTACAGTAAATGCTTACCACCAATCCCTGGCATTGCCAAAAGGCAGACTCACTGTACTTGTGTGAGGCTGAAGCCCACTAAATTCCCCAAACAGTTAATTCAACTATCACTTTATGGATAAAATGAACTGTGTTTGACTAATCTGAGCTCCTGTTCTCCTGGTCCCTCAGTTCAAGATCGTGATCGCTCAGGTCTTGCTGGCTGACTTCTTCCTTGCCTTGTTGGTGGACCGAAGTCTTCAGTTTCTTCTGGGGAGTGCAAAACTTAAAGTGCCTTCCTGAAACAGGCCACGGTCCTAGCCCCTACCACAGTGCCAGGTGTGAGGGACAACACAGGAGGACCTGTTTCCAGGATGCAAGGAGAATCTTTATTCTTTGGATATTGACTCTAAACCTCATCTGGGAGCAGGCACAGAAAAGCTCTCTTACGTATTCACTGGGAAACCACCCCAGTGTAACACTCAACTGCAAGGGGCATGCTGCTGACTTTTAGATAATGTTTCCAGGACATGCCACTGCCTGTTGGGAGTTTTGTACTGCCCCGCGCGCTTGAGGAAGCGTTTACAGCATTTGGTAATTAAATCAGAATCAATGTATTTTAAAACCTGTTTGGAATTTCTTCTGTTGGGGACTAAGGACATGAAAGGTGTTTGAGGCAACCCCATCAGTGAGCACACTGGTTACAAAAGGAGGAGAGAAAAGCAGGTTACTCAGTTTGTTTACTTGCATATAAACAGGCTGTAAAAGTTTTGGCAAAAAAAATGTAGCTTAATTTGTAGGCAGGAAAGTATCAGCCTCAAATCCTTTGGGCTGCTTAGTGTTTTTGCCATATAAAGAAAAGAAATTACGCACCATGCGCGCCTCTGCTCTGGTGGGGGGGAGGAGAATAGGTGTAGGTGCATTTACCTCCATCAGAATGATTAATGCTGATGGGCCAACACCTCTCACTGGCAACATGACCCCTTGCTGTACAAAGGAATAACACATGGGCAAACCCATCCTGAAACCTTGCACAGGATGTCTAGCCTAAGTCAGCATGCTCTTCCCCCCACCCTGTCCTGGGCAGGTCAGAGGCTAGTGTTCTTCAGGCTACAGCTAACAACTAGCCTGGGAACAAAATCTTACAGAAGTTGCTAAACAGGGGAGCACCAAACAGATCCAGACCCATGTGCTCTAACAAGTACAAGGCTAGAAGGCAGAGGAGAGGGTTTGGTCTGGCACAGGACTATTCATCTGGAAGAGTCAAGTACAACACGGCGGTTGTGGACATCAGCCTCAGTGGGTCAGATCTTGGCCACGTTTGGAGCCATCTCTGCTGTTAGCAGATGCTGGGTGGGAGTCTGGCAGCTGCAGTCCTTTCAACTACAAAAGTGTAATCGTACTGGAACAGAAAGAGAACAAGCCAAGCTTTGTGAATACCAGGGCCAGCACTGGGCTGCCATGCATAAAGATCCAGCTGCTCCCCCTGTCAGACCAATCTCCTCCCCCAGTGTGTTACCAATGAGGCAGTAGGGCTCAGTCCTGAAGTCCTTACCTCTTTCTCAATGTCAGCAAGTGACTTGATGTTCAGATTATTTAAAAAGGAAAAGGCCTGGAAGAGAGGTAACCACGAGAGGTAAAGCATTTGTGTGTTCTTCACAAGCGCCCCCCACCCCTGCTGCTTCACCCCTGAGGGCTGAGTCATTTGTTTTGGATTCAGTTGACCTGCTTTGTGTTCCCTGAGCCTTGCAGGCAGCAGAAGAAACTGCCTGCTTCTCCTCTGCCTCTGATGCACAACTGGGTTCCCTCAAGCCCAAGACATTAGCCACAGCTCAAATGAGGAGAACCAGTCAACTTGGTCTATGTCCCAAAGGACTGAGAACTTCTGCATGCATTGCCAGTGTGTCCTGCTCCAAGTTACTCCCTGATTGTCAGACCAGTTTATTGACTGACTGTCCTACTCACATCCCTTTTTCCCCTTCCTGTTACATAGGGCAAGGTTCATCTACCACCATCTGAGCATGATTCACCTGCTGTTGCAGGGCCTTAGTCTAGGGCAAAAGCCTCAAAGGTTCTGCCCTGTCTGTTAGTCACTGGTGTCTTGTGGTCTGGGCTTGGGGATCCTGGTGGTCCCTCCGAGCCCGTTATTCCTGAGTGCTCTGAAAGGCATGTATGGAGTTGGACAATACTAGATGCTGATCCAGGGATACTGCAGCTGTGCTAACCTGTAGCAATACTCACATGAGTGCCACGAGTGAGGCTGCTTTCAAATTTGGGGTGTAATGTGAATGGCACTCCATCCATTGCTGTGGAGAGAGATGCTCATTAGACTCAAGCTGCTACTGTCTGAGCCCCAGTACCTGCCATTGACTCCATGCTAGTCTTCTTAGCAAGCAGTGATTGACTTCTGGGAAGGGATATGTGGCAGCTCAGTACAGCACATCCACACTGCTTCTGTAGGGGAAACCTGGGGGGAGGGGAGGAAAGAGGCCCAGCCTGACTGAGACATCAGTCTCCTGGCAGAAGTACAGGTAAGCTTTCAGTGCTTAACTTCTGAACTAGCAAAGGGTTTGAAGCAGCAAGAGCAAGTCTGGCCAGATTCATGTAACAACTCTACCACCCAAACACCAGAAGGCAGCATGCCCCAAGGAAAGACATCCCAGCCGAGTGAAAGGCTGTAGTGTGCAAGAGATGAAGACCATCTTACAATCACTTCTGCCTGAAGTATGCAGCTGCACTGAGAAGCTGACATGAGAAGGCCTCCTGCTCACAGATGACTAAGACTGACAGGGGCGGTCTATTAAGCAACTCCTCTGGTTTCAAGAGTGACTTGCACTTACCTGAAATGCCGTAGAGATTAGAGGCCTCGTAAATGGAGTCATGTCGCTTAAGAGATGTGTGTTTTGAGCCAAAGTGAGTGGCAGATTTCTCTGATGGGAACTCCACCCTGCAGAGCAGAAACTTTACTAAGTCTGTGAAATCCTGTGGACTTCACCTGTTTTTATCTGCCAGTTCTGTGGCACAAATGCCTTCTTCTGCTTAGAGCAGGGGTGGGCAAAATGCAGCCCACCAGGCCATTCTGTCTGGCCTGTGGGCCCCCCCAGAATTAAGAAAATTAATATTTATCTGCCCCTGGCTGCCTGTCATGTGGCCCTCAATGGCTTACCAAAACTCAGTAAACAGCCTTCCGCCCAAAATAATTGCCCAGCCCTGGCTTAGAGCCTTAAAGCAATGCTAACCTGGGCTTCCAGTACTCCTGTGGACAAGAAGTCTCCTCTTTGTGCACAGAAAGTGTAAGGTACTTCCCTAAACCCTTATGCCTCACTAGATAAACAGTTAAAGGATTTTAAATGCACAGTACTTTACTGCTCACCTACTGTATCTAGAAAGTAAACCATTGTAACTTTAAAGCTGGTTGCTCAGTTTGAGCAAACTCCTGAAAGGATCGTATCAATTCAGCTAATAGTGTGTCCCATCCCTCACCCCTTTAAAATAGCTTAATATTACAGCTGTCCTCACAGAGCACAAGCAAAGCACAACAACAAACCAAGCTGAGGCCACACTAACCAACCAGGACACAATCGCAGTGCAGGAGCATGTCAATAAAAACAGAGGTGGCCCCAAACACTCACTTGGCTTGGTTGGGTTCAGCTGTTTCTAGTGAAAGCTGCTTCAGGGTGAGACTGATGTTTCTTGGCTTGGGGAGGGGCTTGGGTTTAGGAGCATGTCCCTTTTTACACCAAATAGCAAAGCTGCCGATTTCTCTAAAGAAGACAAAAGCATGTTGAAGCCACAGAAAGCAAGTGCTGAGGGGCAGCAGAAGGGGAGGGGGCAGCTTGTTACCCGATTTTCACATAGTGTGGGATTGCTTTGCTTTTGCTGCTCAGCTTGATGTCAAATACCACAAGCTCTGCTGTGCCCACGGGCACGAGCCTCACGCACACGCGCTTCTTCTTGGAGATTGCTGTTCCTGAGGGGGAGCGAGGGGGCCGTGTCACTGCCCATATGAACTTGCAAAGCACCAGCGCGTGGGGGTTGGCTCTGCCGGCGACCCTCCCCACGAGCCGCACGGACCCCGCAGGGCTCCTGAGGGTGGGAAGACCAGTACCGATACCAGCCGTCTCAGTAGCTTCCCAGCAGGAGCAGGACTGAGCTCCTAAAGCAGCGGGCGGTGGCAAAATCCTACTCCCATCAGGGGAAAGAGCTGGTCCTAAGTACGGGCCCCGGGAATCGCTGACGGGGCTTTCCCGGCCCCTGCGGGCTACAGGTGAGCCCGGGAATCGCGGTGCCCGCGCTGGGGGCCGGGCTCCCGCCTGCTGCATGGGGAGTGCCGTGGGCTCAGGGCAGCCGCCCGGGAGACTCACGGGGCTCCAGGAACTCCTGCGCGTAGGTGTAGCCCGCGGGCAGCGCCGTCCTCTCGCCGAGCACCTGCACGTCCGCCACCACGTCCCCCGGGCCGGCCTGCGGGGAGCAGAGGGGCTGGGCACGGGCCGCCGCGCCAGGGTCCCGGCTCCTCGCTCAGGCGCGCCCCACCCCCCCTCACCTGGCAGCTCTGGCAGAGGTAGTAGCTGGATTTCTGCCCGAATCCCTTCCCGAAGTTGGCGGCGGCGCCTTCCACCGTGCTCAGGATCTGGGGGCAAGACGCGGGGCTCGGTCAAGCGAGGCCCCGGGACTAGTGGGAGGCCGCCACCGGGCGGGCGGCGAAGCTAGGGGCGGGGCTGCTCACCGGGGTCCAGACGGCGGGCAGCGCGGCGGGGCTGGAGGCCCAGGCCACCCCCGACAGTGGGACGGGTTCCGCCGACGCCGACATTGCACCCCGCTGCAGTTCCTCGCGGCGGGAGGCGGGGCCCCCGTACCTCATACGCCCTTCTGCCCCTATTGGCCTCTGAGTTAAGCGACACCCTGCGATTGGCTCCCCCAACGTGATGGACGGCTATTGCAGCCAATGAGACGTTCCCATGCAGGACGATCGCTACGTCATTTGAAGGCGGAAGCGGAAAATACCTGGCGCGGGCCTGAGCCGTGCACGCATGCGCAGATCAGTTGAGCCGCCCCAGCCCTCCCTCGCACTGCAGCCCACGCTACAGCGGCCGTAGCCTCAGCTTTATTCACAGCCCGGCCCGGCGCGGACAAACCCGATACAGACGCAGGCTACTGTAACCCCCACGCAACTGCTGCCCCAGATCCCGGAAGGGGCATGCAAAGGCAGCAACGACCCGCCCAGCGCCTGCCTTCAGCCCTCAGGTGGCTGCTGGATCCCAGCACCATGGAGCTGTTTCCTGGGCCCCCCCAGCAGCTTCCGCGCAGGCGAGTTCTCCAAGTGGCAGAAGGTTCTTGAGGCTGGAAGAGAAGTCACCGTGAGCAGCACAGCCTGGGACTGGCCCCAGGTTGGTGCAAGTCAGGAACTCGCAGCACCTCACCACCAGTTGTGCAAGGTGAAGGCCCCAAACCTGCCCCAGCCCTTCGCTTGGCCTCAGTTTCCCCATCTCTACAGCCCAGATTTTGTTTTGATAGTACCCCTCCACAAACCCCAACATTAGACTACCAGTTGCTCTTAGCTCTTCCTCCTAAAAACCTAGTACAATACCCAAAAATTGAGGGCTGATTTTGCCAATTCTTGGCTTGAAGAACACCAGGCAGCAGGTTGATGTGGATAGTTTCAACAGGCAGTGTTCAGAAGTGCCATATGTTTTTCAAGGTCGCATGGAAGCACCTTGGTATCAAGCAGCACAATGTTCAACTAAACCTATAGACGTGCTTCATCTAACTTCCAATATTAGCTTACTGATGGTATAGACATCCTAGGGTTGTCCAGCACAACAAATCAGTAGGAAGCATATACTTGAACAGAGACCCTATCCTCTCCCTCCTTTCTCCACAAAAAGGGGGATTAAGAGCTATAATAAAAATAAATAAATCTTGTGTTAAATAATTGTTCTATCATCCTTAGTCCCCAATACCTTTTAATGCCACATAAGACAGTGTTTGCTGGACTGAGCAAAATGCCAGTTCTGAATTCAATGAACAAGCAGCAAGTACTGTCCCATAGAAGAAACAGCCCCTTACCAAGTTGTTCTGATAAATTCTGGAGGTACTGGGTACTGTCTCTCATGAATGCTTGCAACAACTTCACTGCCATCTGCATTTCATCCAGCTACAAAACACAAGAGGGAAACTTCAGAGAAACTTTCAACACAAAAGAAAAGCAAAGCTTTTGATGGTTTAATGAACTAGATGAATAAGCAAACATTAAACCAAAGCATCAATAATTAATTCAATTAACATGTTCATGGGTTTTTTTAAACCTGTCATACAGGTGTGTAACACAGACTGAATCATAAAACAGAGCAACAGCTTTCTCATGTTTGTTGTTGGAGAATTTGTCTGTAAACAGTGAATGACCCTTGTGCTAAAATTCCATGCTGCAGAGTACAGAAGACAACCCTTCTTCAAAGGATCAAAAGTACTCTAACAGCTCCCACATTCTGTCTCTTCCAAAGGCAAGTGATCTAACACCGAGAAGAGAATCCGGTGTTTCCACAACAATATACAATACATGTGTTATCTCTGTACAGTGAAATCTAGTTAATTCACTGATGTACCCACACAGTGATATTAGTTCACTGTCATTCCAACCCCCTACCCACACCCCTTTCCACCAACTATCAACATCTGATTACTTCTCTACCAAATAATTCACCATTATTTCCATTTCCCTTGAAGTGGTAAATTAATACTATGTTACAGGGACTGAGATGCAACTCACCACGAGCTCCATGCAGTCAAAGACCTCACTCTGGCTGTCTAATATTCTCTGGTAGTCAGGCTTGCTGTTGATAACCTTAGCCTGAGATGATCCTAAATAATCAGCAGGATCCACCTCCTCTTCATTTGCCTTGCACTTCTCCAATTGTCTTAAAAAAACAAAACAAAACAAAAAAAACACCACGAAAACAGCAAAGAACAAATTGAACCACTGCATAATGTTAAGTGTCCAGTTTCCATGAAGCCTGGCATAGGCATGACTGGCAGCAGATTAATTGAACCTGTTATCCCATAGGTGTAACTGTGGGCTGAGACCATGTACATTCAGTTACACTTAAAGCACACAGTTTACAGGTGACCCCAAATGCCAAAGATTTTTTAAAGTAATTTAAAATATTGCAATAATACTCAAAGGGTCAAATTAAAGCCCTCTTAGATTCTCAGTATTAAATCTCATTTTCTTTAATTGAGAAGGATAAGACACAGGATAATCATCTAACCTGGGCATTTCTTCAGCCATTTTCTCATAACTTATTACAAGCTGATCCCAAGACTGACACTCCACAGAAAACCTGCAAAGTGACCAAAAAGAGGACAGAAAGATTAAGTGTGGGAGAAAGACCAACTTGCTGGGTTCTTGAGAGAGTTTAGTGTGTTAGTCCTATGTCAAGCTTCTCTTCCTATATAGATAGCATTCTCCCCTCATTTCAAATACACAACTTGGTGTTTACACAAGGGGCTCAGTGACAATCCAGAAAACTGCAAGAAAAAGCTCATCTGTATCCAACTGTACGAAGCTAGGCTTGGACTCAATTTAATCTCACCTGGCTATATATTCCTTAATCTGGGCCAATGACTCGCCAAGCGCGGGGTCCGACAAAACCCTAAAACACACAAGCACAAAGTGAAATACAATCCAAAAGGTATAACAGGCAGTTTGTACCCACACAGGGTCATGATGACTCCTTAGTTTTTTTGCATTGTGCCTGCACAAACGCATAAGGTAACAGACTACAAATACAATCAAGCACACACTTGTGGATGAGTCTAGTACTACTCCAGACATGAGTGCCCCAACTACTCCAATGAATATTTTCTATCCGTATCAGCAGATTTCTCTCTCTGTCTTTAACACATGTATGACTGACCCACCTATAGTCCCCACATTTGTCCAAAGCATGAACTCTCAGGGGCTGTGAGCTCAGTGTTCCCACATGACTTATGCAGACAAGTGTTGTGGCATTTTAGCCTGTAGACCTTTACTCATAATTAAAACATTCCAGTACTAAAGACTGTAATCCTGCAACACATCATTATCATCCTCAACATCCATATGAGCTTCTTACTGCTTATAGATGCAGAACTTTGATTAGTTTAATGTGCTGCAGTGCAAGGTAGTTGAACAGGAGCTAAACTAGAACCTCCACTCCAACATGGGACAGTAACACAGTGACCGTGGAGACACGTCATTACCCTGGAGTCTCCTCTGTACATTTCTTCAGCGTTCCATCCAGCTTCAACCTCTCTATGCAGCGCTTCAGCTCCTCTAAAACTGAGTTCCCTGCAAATGAGGTGGACAGTTTAGTGATCAGTTCCACAGGCTTCAGTAGAATGAAGCTTAACTCTGCAATCAATGCTTGGTTTGGTGTTCTACTGACTTACAGCTCTTCAGCTGCTTCCCAAAAACATTTTTTCCATCTTAAACAGAAGATATGACTCTCCCAATGCAGAACTAAAGATATTCCAAGGAGACTCACTGTTTGCTCTGAAAGCCTCAGGGCTGAACCCATCAGTCTGCATCAAGGCACATTCCAGCTTCTGGGCAGAAAACTGAAAGAATAAAAAAAAGCAATATCCTTTTTTTCCCCTTTTTTTTTTTTAAAGAACAGCTATTCAAAGGACATTGAGTAGCTTTTCATTAGGCTACCTGATAAAAAGAGGAAGATAATTGTGGTTTAGCCAAGTGCAACAGGAGGAAGAGTAAAAAGCACTACAGCAAAGTTTCTCCTCTCCCCGTACAGAACTAAAGCCTCACCTGAAAACTGGACAGCAGGAGCTCAGCAAGTCTGTCAGTCCCTGGCAAATCCAGGCTGATTGATTTGCTCAGTTCTAAAAAAAAGTAAATACAAAACTTTTTAAAAGGTAGCATTTACCCCAAGCTGCGAGTAGCTGAAATAGTCCATACCTGGACTCATGCTTTTGCACTCGAGAGACATCAGCAAGACTGAGGAGACTGTTCATTGCAGCAGAACATTTAACTTTCAAGTGTGGGCACAGCCAATGCAGTCCACAATGAAGCAACTTTCAGGGCCAAGCTGGTCCCTTCACGCTTTAAATACTACACCTATCAACTCAGAGCTCTACTGGCCCAGATTCTCACATAAGTTTCCCATCAGTCTGCTCACAATAAAAAAGGCAGCACATACCTGTCACATCGGGGTGAAAAGGAGGCAGTGACTTCCGGCGCTTAGTTCCCTTCAGACTGGAGCGACGCCAGGAGCGACGGGTGACTCGCGACCTGGAGGATGAGGGGGGCGACCCAAAAGCCAGGGCCTTCCTGGGACTGCCTTTCCAGGGCGATGCCTGCTTGGGACTGGGCGCCTGCCTGCCCATGGTGGGGCTGTGATCAGACCAGGACCTTTTCCTTTCTGCCCTCTCACAGGGGCCCGCTCGTGCCCTCACTGCAGCTCCAGGGCTCGGTACTTTCTGTAGCTCCGAACAGCCCCAGGGCTCGGCTCCCTCTGCCCCAGCCTCGCCTCCTACGAGAGACAAGCAACCAACACATCACCGGGCCAGGGGGTAGGGCGAATACGACCTCCCATGGGACTCGCCCTCGGGCCCTGAACCCGACACCAATGGTGTCGGTTCCGGCCCGCGGGGCGGCCCCGGTTTCCAAGCAGGAAGTCTGCGGTCGGAGCCCGGGCTCCCGGCTCTGCCGCAGCTGCGCGGCGCCTCACCTCGGGGCATCCCGCTGCCGCTGCCGCTGCCGCTGCCGCCGCCCCCCCCCAGGGGAGTGCTCAGGGCGGGCTCTAGCGCACCTGCTGCCCCGCGACCCCGGCCGGGCTCCTGAGCAGCTACCACCTCCATCCCGCCCGCGCCTCGCTCAAACGTCCGCAGTGCCTGCCGGGACCCGTACTTCTCCGCGCATGCGCCAGCCGCGAGCTTGGCAAGAGCAGGGTTGGGGTGAGAGGAGGCTGAGCCAGCGCGGGGCATTCTGGGCACCGCTGGGGATGCTGGGAAGTGTGGTCCTGCCGCGGGCAGAACGGCAGCGCTGTTGCTAAGTGTACGATTATTTCAACCCTTGTACGATGTACGGTCAATAAAAGTGCTCACGCTGTACAATACGTTTTGAGGCAGCTCACTGATGCAGCAAACTCCAGTCATTCTCAGGGAGTCTTAACTTATTTCTAGGTTTGCTTCAGCACCTTCTTACCCTGCTAGCCTCGAAATAAAGAAATGCTTCAGCTTTGGTGAACCAGTTCTCTCACCAGACAGAGACAGTGAGCAATATTATGTAAAAGACTACTTATTTGGATACGATTTCAAGGTACACGTTTTTTCAGCAAATGCAATAATTTTCAGCTTCCAATATGATCATTTCATATTTAAGACTTGACCATACTGACCCAGTGCCAGGCTGCAAGCTGGCTAGAACTGCTCTGGAAAGACTGGGGAGCCTCACAGCTCCGACAGCTCCCCACAAACAGCAGCGCAGAGGGGCAGAGATAGGCCAGGACCAGGGGACCAGAGCAGCTGCTTCCCCAGGAACCGCTGCCCTGGGAGGCACTAGAATTTGTTCTTCCACTCCCAACTTGTGAGCACTGGGGGCAGGTTTAAAATGAACAAGATTTTTTCTATTTTATGCAACACACAGTTCCCTTCAGGAAGGCTTTGCCCCCAGGACACCAGAGCCCAATGAACAGAGGGATTGGATACATCCGTGCTTGATGGATTGATGCATTGATTTATGGCTGCTGAACAGAACAGCTTCGGGATGCTTCCTTTGACATCTCTGAACCAATATATAGAGGAGGCAAAGGAGATGCTGAAGAGAGATCTCCCTAGAGCAGTGGTTTTCAACCCTTTTTTGTACCAGGACCCATTTGTAAACAACTACAACCAGTCCTGAACCACTGCCCCTCACTCCTGACCTGCTGCCCCTCCCCCACCCCCCAGCACCCTAGTGTGTGGGGGGGAGGGGAGGGAGGGTGTGGGGCATAGTGAGCCCCAAGCAACCCCTTGCAGGCTGGAAGTCTGATGGCCTGCAAGGGAAAAGTCAGTTTCCCATATTTTTCTCCTTTAAAAAGCAGAATCCATTTTTAAAGTTTGTTCGCAATTCGTAGATTCTTGCAACCCACTTTTGGGTCACAACCCACAGGTTGAGAAACACTGAGCTAGAGCAGTAGTTTTCAACCTGTGGTTCACAAACTCCTGGAAGTACACAGACTGTGTCTACAGGGTCTGTGAAAGACGACTATGATCAAATCAGAAGTACGTTCTTCATTCGTGCATCCCTTTGAACAAGGGTGAAAACTACTTGTTTTAGAGCTACCTGGTTCATCACCCCCCCCCACAGCATCTACCCCTACAACTGGGCTAGATGGACCATTGATCTGATGAAGCACAGCACTTCTACTGTTCTTATGACACACACATGATGGTTTCTTGACTCTTGAAACAGCTGCAAAATTACCTGCTACTAATTTGTAAGCCCCTAAGGTTTAAGGAAAGGCTGATAAAAAGGCAGGAAGGAAAAAGGCTTTGGAAGTTTATTATCTTTGATAAAATTTCAACTGAAAATGATGGACTTTGTCTTAACATTTTGTAAATGCACAAAAATCTATTCACAGGGAAGTCAGAGTTTACACTAGACATTAAATTCGAACTATATGAAATGACACAAAAGATGGAAGTTCCTATTCAAGAGCAAAGTCCAATGAAAGTTTTGGTAAAGCAGTGTTCTGTTCTGGTTAATTAGTTCAGAATGAACTTGAGTTAAGAAAAGCTTATTTTCCTATACAAAATTACAATACAGAGAACGCATACAATTACAAATACAGGGGGTTTAATTGTTAGTATCTATCAACTAGAACAGAAGTTTCATAGTAAAAAAATTTTATGGAAATTAAAATAAGTCAATTCTTTTTAAACTGGAAAACTTGAGACAAATGCCAAGTCCTAGAAGAAGAGAGATTTTTCAGATTCTTACCATAAAATTGATATTTAAAAAATGAATTTGGTTAGGAAAATGAAGCAAGTTCTTTTAAAACAATTTCACATCCCAATGGGCAGAATCAAGAACTCAACTGTGTGAGGCTGAGAGGTAGAGAGGTATCATTGAAATCACAATCTTCTTCTATTGGTTCCAGGGTTTTGAGGTAATTAGCTGTGTGTCAAGTTGTACAAACTATAATATTGGCAAAAGCAACATTGACAAATTACACTAATGACCTCTTTCCTCTCATCAATCGGTCCTAAAAACTTAATTAGATGCATCTGAATTAACACTTCCAGGGTCTCCAGCAGGTGACGTGATTGATGAAGGAGTTGTAGTGTCCTGCCAGCTGCCATTAGCCTGGAGGGGAGGTGGAAAAAAACATATCATTAAAGCCTTAAGATGGTACTTGGATCCAGGAGCATCTATGTTCCTATTACCACATTTGAAGGGGAATTAGTGCTTATGAAAATATAGAACTAAACATTAGTTTAGGCAGGACATAGTGCAGTTAGATGCCACTGTGGTAATAAAAACTTAACCCGGCTCCTAACTTGACTAAGAAAACAGACAGAGACCAGAGGTGCTGATACTGCTTATTTCAGTTAAATGTTCTGAGATAAGGAATCCTGCATGCCTTGTTTTGTCTTGATATATTACCCTGTGTATGGATCTTAAGTTTATTTTCTGAGAAACCAGAAACTGATAACTATTTCTATAAGCACAATGTTTCACTCTTCTTTAAGTAAACTGTCTGTATGTCTGTGTGTGTGTTAGATCAGTGATTTACTGTCCAAGGTCGTATTTTTTTCTCTCTCTGTCTAAAGTATAAATATGCTTGTAAACTTACAGAGTTTGAGAAATCCTTTGAAACAGACAAGTGGGCAATTCCCCTTCCTGTACGGAATCCTCCCTGTAATCACAGTATAGCCCTAAACAAAAAAAAAGCTGGCTCTGTCAGTTCTGATTCAACCACAACACGAAGTTTGATTTCTTCCAAAATTTGGTGCTGTGACTCAGATAGAGAAGCCCAGAGTGATCAGTTGGGGCACAGACATCTCTCCCTGGCGCCAAACCAAGGTAAGAGACCTTTTGAAATCTCTACTGGGGCTTTTCAGTGAGAGGCTGTCTCTGTGTCTTCCTGATTCACTGCTTGAGGCTCACCCTATCCAAACTTTTTTTTCTCCCAGAACTGTCAGACCCACTGCATTAGTAGTAACTGTGAGTAGAAAGAGTTAAGGTGAAACACTCTGTGTTGCTGTTGTCAATGAAAGTATTTCCCCGTGTGAACTGAGTTAAGTTCTGTAAAGAACTAGGAGGTCTCTCTGAGGCCAGGAGTGGAAACCTTGTGCAGCCGCCCCGAAGACAACAGATTTGTTCTGTGTGCTCTTTGAAAGCAAGGGTGCAAGGTGGAAACTCAGAGTGTGAGTGTTTTCCACAATAAGTGTTGACCAAGGCTGAGACTAGAGATGCTCTTGAACCTCGTGCCTCAACGCAGAAATTCCCTTGTGTGAATTGAGAGTATGAATTGAGAAATGAGCCACTGACCAGGTCTGAGACTAAGGTTGGGTTCAAGGCTGTCCGGAAGGGCAGTTTTGAATGCAAGGGGGCCCAACTGGAACCTCGTGACCCAGTAGACAGGTTTACCCTTTCCCCACCCTCGAAATGAGCCATGTTTAACCGTGAGTAAACTGCACTGCGTGCCGTTATTGCAGTGGAGTCTTGTCTTTGGACGTTAGCCACAGCATCTGTGCTGCTAGCAAATCTCACAACCTGACCAGACACCC